CCCCCCCGTGATGTGCTCCCACTTTCTCTGGGGCCTCAGTCTGTGAAGTGTGTCACTTGGAATCAGAAGAGGCTTCTGGAGAGCGGCCCTGCCTCCTGACAGTTTTCCCAAGAGCAGTCTGACCCCTCCCAAACAAGCAACCCCCTCCCCACCCAGTTAAGAACCAGGCCCCGCTTTGAAAACGCTTAGTCACACCACCTAAAGCTGTCCCGGAAGGGCTCTGGGTTCAGCTGCCACCTCCCATCTGACTTGGCTGTACTCACACAAACAAGAACCTCCCTTGTTTTGCTGGGAAAAGTCAAGAGGAAAGGCCATTTTGGAAGTGAGGAGGAGGGAAAGGAAGTCTGCACAGTATGTGCAAGGAATTCAGCCCCAGCTGCTGTGTTGACAGAGACCCGGGGAGGCGGGGGCAGCGGGCCCATGCAAGCCGGCAGGGGCAGCCCCCTCTGGGGAGGGAGAGCAGGCAGGCAGAGTCGGTGTCTGTCTTCCACAGGCACAGCCTTCTCCTCCACAGCTGATCTGCTGCCCATCCAGATGAGCCTCCTCTCTGCTCCCGGGGAGTTGTCAGGGGGCTGCAAGCCCCGGTCATTGGCCCATGAGACTGCCCAGCCACGTTCCTTGCCTGCCTTCCCTTGCAATCTTCTGCAAGCGAGAAGGCGAAGCCCCTGGGGGGACATGCTTGTTCTGGGGCCCGACCAAAGCAAATAAGCCAGCGCTTGCAGGGCTCAGATCCCCTCTGAGCTCTCATCTGCGGTCCTCCTTTGCAGCCCTCAGCTGCAGAGGTCCTTTGATTTAAAACAAAGGCTGAGCTAAGGGAAGAAAGCAAAGGAGACTCTTGCGTGGGCCTTGAGGGCTTCCCGTGTTTCTCTTCTGAGCTTCCCATGCGAAGAAGGCACAGGCACTGCCTTGCCAGGGGTAGGGGGTGCTTTCTTGTCTTCCAGGGTTGTAAGCAAGCCTCTGTCCTAATCACACACCTGCCTCTGGTGGCTGCCCTGGATAGGGGAAGGGAGCGGGGAAGGCCTCGGGCAGCCCTCCCTCGGCTTTACCCCAAGCGCTTGATGCCCAGCCGGCCTCAGCCACCAGATGGAGCCAGCTTCTCTCCCTCCCCCAGTGGGTCAGTGTGTGTCCTGGGCTCTCCTCTGGGATGGGCAGAGGCAGACGTGTTTGGGATCAGGTCCACCAGGCTGTTTGTGGGTGCAGTCATGCTTTAAGAGGAACTTAAAACTTGAAAATGTTCAGACTTCGGCGGGGGGTGTGGTAAAGATCAAGGAACTGGTGAGTAGACCGCTTCCTTGGAACCTCTCCGGATAAGGAGAGGATGGGAGGTTGCCTCCATGTGCTCTGGGCAGCTGTTCCTCCTGAGGAGACAACAGGACAGCACTTTTCTGCGGGTTTGAGCACCAGGAGGCAACTGCAGCAGAGACTTTTAAAGGACGCTAACTTTGCAAACCTCACTTTCTAATCACTTTTGGAAATTGCCTATTGACCATTTTAAAGCTATTAGAGTCCTTCGGGATGACAAGTTTGAAAAGTCTTCATCGGGTGAGTTTATCTTCAACTCTGAACAAAAGAAAATTTAATTATAAAGTTAAGAACTTAAAGAATCAGCAAAAAGCTAAATAAGAGTTTGATCTTAAAAAGTTATAAATGGACCAAGTGTCCAGATACATTTGGAATATTGAAACTTTTACAAGAAGACTTTGGAATTAATTATAAAGAACAAACAGCTTCTTGTGGGAAATAGATCTGTTTTGGTTTTTGGAAGACGTAACAGAGATAAGTAATTTCATGATTTAAAAAGTGGACACTAGAGGGGATTAAACAATTTAGGTAGAGGAAACAATGCAAGATGTTATAACAATGAAAATACTGAAGAAGACTTTTGAAGAATGGAGTCAGAAATGAGTAGCCACAGTATCAACAATGTCAGTAATGATGTCTGCTTCTATGGACAGACCATGTAGGAAAGATGTTATTGAAGAAATGTCAGATGTAGAACAAATTTTATCAGAGATGGCACCAAAAGTGGATTTACAACTGACAGGCCAAGAGAATGACTTGGAAAAGAAGGTTTCACTGGATCGATAAAAGAAATTGGCTGATGTTTTAAAATTCAAAAGGGAAATACAAATGATAAACCAAGAGGGTGACCTGGACAATTTTTCCTGTTGGATTTAAAGAAGAGGCTTGTTTAAAGCCTTGAAGAACTCTGTGTGATGGGGCAAAGAAATGAAGAGAAATCAAATCCTATGATAATATTTGAATGAACTGAAGATTAAGACTGTTAGAAGTAAAAGGAAGGAATATGAAGTGGGTTTATTTGATCAGGGTTAAACCTAGATACGGTATGTTGTTGCTTCTGGCAAGCGTTTATGGACTTTCTGCTGACCCTAGGACTGAGAGATGACGCTTTATGGATTTCTCCGCCGATAAGGGAAGGGATGTGGGGTGAAGAGATAATTGTTTGTAACCTTAGAGGGGGTGAAGAGTTGCAAAATTCGTTTATATAGTGCTTGCTGTAATGAAGGTTGGAAGTCACTTCTTTGTATATTTCTTTTCGTTATATCCTCACTTTTTTCTTTTTTCCCTCTTTTTTTCTTCTTTTTCCTTGCACCTTTTTTCTTTTCCTGGCCCTCTTTAAGTTTAGCTTGTATTAGATTTTACCATTATAATCAAAATTCTTAATAAAATTATATTAAAAAAAGCTTGAAAAGTGTCCACCTGGAGACCCCAGGGTGCTCGGCTAGACTGGGGAGCCAGGAAGAAGGCGGGGCCCCAAGAGAAAACTGTAGGCGTCCCTGAAGCACCAGGAGCCACGGTTTTGCGTTGTGCAGGGTGTGGCTCTGCCTGCGCTCGTTTGCTTTCGGAGGGGTTTCGGTTGCGCCTTACTGGGACTGGCTTGTTTCAGATCTGCTGTTGGGTCTTAGCCCGGAAGGACTGTGGCCCCCAAAGGCTGCCGAGTAGTCTGTGACCTCTCAGCCCCCCGGCCACAACTCTGCTTTGAAATACCCTTTTCCCTCCACCCTAGACAGGGACCCTGACTGAGGATGGCCTGGACCTCTGGGGGATCCAAAGGGTTGATAATGCCTGGTAAGTAATATAATAAAATATGTAATATATAATATATAATAATAATAAGTCCGGGGTGGAAGAAGCGGCTTCAGGTGATTTATCAGATAGAGGAATGGTATAAAGAAGTGTGGGATATTGCAACCAATGATAAACTAACATGTAATATTAAAGTTAGAAGGGGGTTGAAATGAGTTTGCAGAGATATGGCATATATTTACAGAATTTGTCTTATTGAAAGGGAAAGGATGCACACCTACACAAGAATTATTATATTTTTGGAAAGAGGAATGATTAAGTAAAATATTGGTCCTGGGGGTGGGATGCACCTCTAATGTTTCATTTTATAAAGGAGCAGCGGCTTCCGGGGCAGGGGGGTGCAGCCTAAGGCTTCTCCCTCGGCCAGAGACGTTAAAGGAACCAAACCCGGGGATGTGGTTTGCCGCCAGTTTGATCAGGGTTAAGGGAGGCTAATCTGTTCTCCTTCGGGAACCCCAATGGAGGCATTGTTCAAACGTCGTCGAAATCATTACATCGCGTCAAAGCGGCCTCCGTAAAACCCTTGGTTCGCCACCTGCTCTTCCCATCCCACTGGGTGGTGGGGCTCAACTCTGCTAATGCCCAGCCAGACTGGCCAGGGTTTGGAGTGGTGGGAGTTGCAGATCAGCCCATCTCACTGATGCAGGACGGGGAAGGTGGTTGCGTTTCTGTTAAAGGAGCGTAAGATCCATCGGATGCTTTGGCTTCAGAGGTTCTGCTGGCTGGCTTCCTCCCAGAGAGAGTAGGGTGGTTTCTCAGTCTCTCCCCTCTGCTCCGCTCAGCTTCCACATGCCCGAAGAAAACGCGTGCAAGGAGAGCTTGGTGAAGTCGCCCTTCATCGCCTGCATGGCCACTTGCCATTCCCTTACCAAGATCGAAGGGGTGCTTTCAGGAGATCCACTTGATCTGAAGATGTTTGAAGCCACTGGATGGGTGAGGATGTCCCATCCGGGAGGTGCTCAAAACGCCCGAGAACAAGCCGCCTGTCGGGGGCAGAGGCAGGCAGGTCGTGTTGGATTCAGGGCTCTGGGTTCCGGGATTTGTGCTGAGGGACGTCTCTGCGTGTCCGTTTCCTTCAGGTTCTTGAAGAAGCAACAGAAGAGGAAACAGCCCTTCATAACCGGATTATGCCCACGGTTGTCCGGCCGCCTAAGCAGCTTCTTCCAGACTTCAAAGCTGGAAGCAACAAGGAAATGGTAGGTCATCTGGGGCCCTTCTTTCCCGCTGTCCGGTTTGGCTGCACTCTGCCTCCTCGAGGAGCTGCCCTAAGTGTTACCTTGCAAGAGCTGAGGCTCAGTCCAGCTGCAGGACAGCCACGGGGGAGTGCACAGCGAGTGGTCCTAAAGTCGCAGCCTCGGGGGGCTGTTGCTGTGTATGAAAATGCCATGGGCTTGGGAGTCCTTGAGTGCCTGTGCTGGCGGGGGAGAGTTCTGGCCCAGGCAGTCTTGCAGAAAGCTGTCTCTCTTTTTCCTTGCAGGAGCTTTTTCAGCTCTCGGTGAGTGGTTTCCTTTCATCCCCTTGGCTGCGGTCCCTAACCTCGCCCACTGACTGGTCGTCGAGCGCCTTTCTTCACCTTCACCTTCCCCTTCCTTGACCAGGCCAGTTACGAAATCGGGATCGTGCGGCAGTTTCCCTTCTCTTCCGTCTTGCAACGGATGTGCGTAGTGGCCAGAATCCTGGGGGAAAAGAAGATGGACGCCTTTGTGAAAGGGGCCCCAGAAGTGGTCGCGGGGCTGTGCAGGCCAGCCACTGGTAAGGCCTCTCAGCTCTCGCTCTCTGCTCGTTGGGGGTGGCTTGAATCCTGCTGCCACGATCCTCACCTGGCGGGGCCTCTCTTGCTTTCCCTAGTGCCAGCTGACTTTGAACGGGTGTTGGAGGACTACACGCAGCAGGGCTTCCGGGTCATTGCTCTTGCTCACAGAAAGCTGGAGTCCAAGCTGACCTGGCACAAGGTCCAGAACGTGGGCCGGTAAGTGGACGCAGGGCTCGGCCCTCGCCTGGGCTTTTAAGGAAGGGCCGCCTGCAGCTTTTGCTGTGAAGTAGCTACTCCCCAGAGAGGAGGAGAAGAGGGAGCTCCTTGACCTCCAGTGAGTTTCTTGTGGTCGCACCCCACATCCTGCCCAGCAGCAGGGAGCAGTTTTAATGCTCTTCTTGGCCCCCAACCTCAAGCAGCCTCCGCTGCTTGGTTTCCCCTGCCAGTAACCCGAGCAGCACTTTATAGATGCCTCTGGTCTCAGAAACCTCGTGGCCAGCCCTGTTGGCTCTGATGAACCAGCATCCAGCGATGCCGAGTCCTGGCAAGGATTCTGTTTGGGCAGGACTTAAGCAAAGAGGCTTTCTTGGGAGGCGCTTCCTTGGATCTCCCTAAGGGTGCGCGGTCCCTTGGCAGGGAGCCTTTGCAGTTTCCCCCCTCAGAAGCAGGTGACACTCCTTGCACATCCAGAAGTTTCTCCTCCCCCTTGCAGCTAAATCTGGGCGGATTACTTCCTTATGGCATTTAAGCTTTGCCCTGTGTGTCTACCAGCACCTGAGAGAGTGCAAAGTTCTTTAACATGGTAAAGGCTGATGGTATTCAGAAACAAAGTAGGCAAGGTTCAGCATGGGTGCCCAGATACTGCACCCCACTAGTAAAAAGGGGGGAGTTTGAATTTCATGTGAATTAGCTCTTGGGAGTCACAGCAGCCTTCCAGATTTGATCTTTTTGCAAAATCTACCCTGATTTTCACGGAATTGCCTATTCTACCACAGAGATGCCATCGAGGCCAACATGGATTTCATGGGGCTAATTATAATGCAGAATAAACTCAAGCCAGAAACTCCAGCTGTACTTGACGATTTGCACAAAGCCAACATCCGCACAGTCATGGTCACAGGTTTGTAAGCGGCCGTACTGTTACTTTCACACTCTCCCTAACAGCGGTCCTTCATTACGCAAGCGGAGGCCACCTTTAAAAGAAATTATATTCCTGGGCTGCCCATTTCTACTTGTTTAGCCATGGTTGAGAAGCGGCCATTATCTCTTCTAACCGCCTCTCGCTTGGCGTCTAGGATGGAATCTCTCTTCCCCCAGCTTTGCCCGTAGAGGAGGGCGTGTGTGCCATGGAGGCTGACCACTTCTGGTTGGTATCCTGGCCCAGGCTGTCCCCCAGCGTGTGGTTGAGATGATCCAGTCTCTCTCCCTGGAATACTAAAACAGCCAGACGCTGGGCAGGGTCAGACCCAAGCTTCACTGGATTTAGGCTCTTGGGGTTCAGGTGCTCCTTAGTCCCAGTAGGGCCTCCCTGGCTGCAGGGGCTTGGTTTCTGGTTTTTCTGCACTCTCCTGTTGTGGGACAGGCTGTAGGCTGCCTCGATGGCACAGATGCCTAAATCCATGGCAAAAGAATCCGGTTTCTGAGATTCAAACCTAATCTTGTTTCCAATTCTAAATAAAGTTATTCCATCTTTGCTCTCTTAAAAGAAACATTTGAGCACAACGGGATAAAAATCAGTAGGAAAGCATTAGAGGTGTTCAAGATGTTTATTTGCTTAGGAATGTGCTCCATGTCTGCTCCAAAAGCTGTAAAAGGCCAGATTGTTAAGGGGAGTGAGAAAGTGTGTATGTGTGGGTGGTGGTGGTGGTGGAAGTGCTTCTGGAATGAGGGATGCCAGGGAGGGCCTGGGCCCTTGCCAAGGGTGCTCTGTTTGCTTCACAGGCGATAACATGCTGACTGCCATCTCTGTGGCCCGGGATTGTGGAATGATTCTACCTCAGGACAAGGTCATTGTGGCTGAAGCACTACCTCCAAAGGATGGGCACCCCGCCAGGATCAAGTGGCACCATGCAGATGCCCTTGAAAGGGGTTCTGATGCCATGCCCACCATTAACTCAGAGGTACGGGCCTGTTCAAGGGTCCTCTCCCAGCCACCAGAGAGTGAGGAGAGGGCTCTGTAGTGCCTTCCGCCCCTCGTTGGCCTTTTAGGGAACTTGCGAGGGAGAACCAGAGGATGGGAAAGGGGTTCTTCCCACAGTTTTTTCCCAAGCTGCGCTTCAAAACTAGGTGGAAGTTGCGCTGGGGGAAGAAAAGCGGCATTGGGGGAAAGAAGGCGGTTCTCTTACAGAGATAAAATGGCCTGGACTTGCTCTTCCTCAGTTCCTCCTGCAACTCTGGATTTCAGATCACTCGTTTGACCCAAAATGCCTTTTTGCCCTCGATCCTCTGGAACCTTTAGCTAATGCATCCATCTAGCAGCGGTATTACGTAACTGATCTTAATATATTGGTGGGCTGTATCTACTCTGGTTTGAATGTCTGTTGACGTCTGTCGTGCCTGGTACATGTGGTTTTTGTTACATGTTACTTTTTTTGTAAAAGCTGGCTATTCACGGGACATGTGGCTCAGCACTCTGACTTCTGGATTAGTCTCCCTTAAGGCGCCTTAGATCAGAAACCTAATCAATTCTGAATTTGGGTGTGGTTGATGTCAGATCAGATATTTAATCCACAGCAATCTTAAGTCAGCAGCTTTTTCCACGATCTTTGCTAGGTCTAGGTGGTGGTGACCAGTTATGTTGACTTTATACCTCAAACATCTGGTCAGAGAATGCTGTTTTTAGCAGCAGGCTTAAATATTCACCGGAAGTTTAGAGGTTTTACCCAAAGAATTGGATGGTGAAATTTAAGTGGCGATGCTTCTGTTTTGTTACAGGATATTCCAATTAAACTTGCCCAGCAGAACTTTGAAGACTTCCACAAAGCCAAATTCCATTTTGCCATGAACGGGAAGTCTTTTGCAGTCATCCAGGAACACTTTCAGGACCTTGTTCCGAAGGTTTGTCTCTGAGGCGGCTTTGAGGTCTCTCTGCATCTGGGCCAACTACACCCCTGTGTGTGTGGTTTGCTTTGAGGGAAGGTCTCGTGGCCGTGGCGAGACTGCTTGGTGGCTGGCAGCCTTCCAAGGAGCCACCAAACCCCGGGGTCCTCCAGCCACTTCCTTTTCTTCTTCCACTTCCCTGGGTCCCCTCCCAGGAGGGGAACGTCCTTTCTACTTGAGCTGTCCCCAAACTCAAAAGCTCCAAAACTTTGGCCTTTCTGAGCCTTTCCCCCGTGGTGATGGCAGGAGGTCTAAAAATACGCCCATCATTCTAAGAAATACTGCTGAATAAAATTCTGCAAAATGTTTCTGTGCAATTAAAGATACATTTCCTGGGTGAAAAGGACGATGCACTGAACTTTTGTCTCAGTTGCCAAAATCCCCTGCAACTGTTGTCTTCACCTTCCTTATACCCGGGGTGCTGAGAGACCTCCCTTACCTTCCAGCTTGTGCTGCACGGCACGGTGTTTGCTCGCATGGCACCGGACCAAAAGACGCAGCTGGTGGAGGCCCTGCAGAACGTTGAGTAAGTATTCTTCAAGGGCAGCAGCAGCAGCAGAACTTGGCTTTGGCTGGATTATTTTCAAGTAGCTTAATATTCAGAAGGACCAGCTCGCAGCACTGCTGAGAGCAGCCAGAGCCTTGCTTCTCGGCACGCGGAGTCCGGCTGCACTCCTGGGGGGCAGGATCTCTGCTCTGAGGAGGGCAGGGCTGTCTGGGGCCACTAGACTTACGACTGGGGCTCGGAGCGTGAAAGGGGGCATCTGGGTTTCTCTGGTGATCGTTGCTGCCTGGCCTCATGCTCTGCTGCTGCTGGGGGCCTTCGGGGGTAGAGGGAGTAAGAAGGGGGAACGGCTCCTGCGACTGGGCTGCTGATTCTGCCCTGCCAATTGCCACTGCGTGAGGAGGGGCCATCCTTTGACTCTGCCTTCTGTGCACGGGCCTTGCCGGCTGCCCACCACTGAGCCAGGGCTCCTGGGGTTCAGTCAGCTGGAAATGCTTTTGGATTTGGCGGCAATGTGCTGTCTTGCTTTCTGCCGGGGAGGGAGGAGACGGCAGCTTCGGCTGGGATTGCCCCAGGCTGTTTCCGCTGCTTTGGCAGCATGGCATAGACTGAGGGGGATGGCATCCTGTTGCTCACAGGTTGCTTAGCCCCTGCCGAACCTGGTTCCCTGAGCAAAAGATGGGATGCTGGATTTCCTCTTTCCCAGCACTGAGAGCGTCCCCCTTCTCTCCAGCCCCCTTCGGTATCTGGGATCACCTTGCAGAGAATGCTGGTCAGGACCTGGAAAAATGGTGGGGCTACTTAGGGTGTGCTTTTGCTTCTGTTTACACACTGAAGGCAGGTCCAGGGCGCTTGTCTAGTTTGTGGGAGCCTTTGCTGGGTTTCTCTCCTGGGGGAATCCCTGGAATGCCTCACACACACCCCTTGGAATCGTTCACTGTTCCCCCTGCCTATAGTCACTCTGCAGAAGGAACTACTGAGGTGCAGTGGGACCCTCACCCTTTCTGCTGTCTCTTGCAGTTACCACGTGGGGATGTGTGGCGATGGAGCCAACGACTGTGGCGTGAGTATTCCCATTCCTCACTTCAGCTCCTTAATTTGGGCCAAAGAATGTCCCTCTCACTTCACTTCACTTCACTTCACTTCTCTTTTATTTGGGCAGGCTCTGAAGAGGGCCCATGGTGGTATTTCGCTCTCTGAGCTGGAAGCGTCCGTTGCTTCTCCCTTCACCTCCAGAACACCCAGCATTTCCTGCGTGCCAAACCTGATCAGGTAAAGGGCTTGGGCATTCGACAGGCGGATGGGCCTCCTCCATCGGGCCAACCGCCAGGGTGGCTGGCTCTGCAGGAGGTGGTGGGGCCGGGCTGAGGTCCTGCCAGTAGGGGAGAAACGAGAAGGCCGCTGGCTGACACCTCTCTGAATGTGACGCTCAGACCATGGGCCAAGGCTCCGCAGCCCAGGTGGGCATTGTGCGGTCTGAAGGACGCGCAGAGCTCGCAGGTTGGCTGCAGCTAGCCTTGCTTCCTTCTCTGGGAGGGGCAGGAGTCTCTCTCCTGTTCCAAGAGGGCAGAGAAGCGCTCAGCCTGGCCTCCTGCTTCAGAGTTTGCATCGTAGGAGCTGGAACTGTTCTAAGATAGGCGTGGAGCTTGCGTTTTGGAGTTCTGAACTGTCCTGAAATGCGGTGCTTCTCTTTTGCACACAATGTACGCGTGCAGAAAATGTGCAGTCCTCCCCAGCCACACAAATCCTCTCCCTTCCTAGATGTGGGTGAGCAGGAATTCTCGGCTCCCCAAAGGAGGATCGGAGACTGGGCTGGATTGCGGTTGTCCCCATGTCTGCTGTTTTGCTTCGCAGGGAAGGCCGCACCGCCCTAATGACTTCCTTCTGCGTGTTCAAATTCATGGCTTTGTATAGCATTATCCAGTATGTCAGCGTCACTCTGCTATACTCTGTGAGTATCTGAGCAAAAACCTGGGGCCGTCCTGAAAGATATTTTCTTTGAAGGAAGGCGTCTTCCAAAGTATGTTGCTGTGCGTCCATCCCTGAACGTTACACATGTGTACACATGTGGGCGGCTGTGATGCTGAGCATGGGTGCTTCAGGAAGAGCAAGAGACTTCTGGACGATAGAGTTTGCTTCTTAAGGAGGGTCCCAGACCAGTTCCAAACACACCCTGGGGAATTAGAATCTCCCACGGAGCTAAGGAAAAGCATGCCTCGGTTACAGTAAATATGAACCAAGCGAGTAATGCAGCAAAACCCAGGGAAAATAACGTCGATCTTTGTGAGCAGAAAACTGAATTGGTCCCGTTTCTTGAAGATTAGGCTGAAGGAGAAAGCTTTCAGAACGGCCTCTTTTCTCAAGGAAGGGTGGGACTAAAGATGAAGATTGCCCAGGGCTTGAGAGAAGAGGCAGGGAAGGGCAGATTCAGGACCACCAGAAGGATCGGGGGATGTGAGGGGGCACACACACTGGAAATAAGCTTCAGAGGAAGGTTTGCACCTTTAAGAGAGATCCCCAGCACAGCGAGAAGAAAGCGAGGCAGCGCAGCACAAAGGCATCCCTCGCTGTTGGGTGGGAGCCAGCTGATGCTAGTGTGAGTGCAATAATGCCACTACTAATACTACAACTACCAATAATAATAATAATAATAATAATAATAATAATAATTATTATTATTATTATTATTATTCATTGCAGGCCAAAGTGCTTCTGTGATGACAAAAGTTCCATCCATTGACAGGGCAGAACAAAGGGATCCTTCCAAAGGAACAGGATTGTCCTTACAAAATACCGCTGTTAGCAAAAACACGGGAGCCCAAGGGCTGTGAAGGGGGATAATGAAACCCAGCCTGACGGGGGAGGCAGGTGCCAGGGGGTGGCAAGTCTTCTGGGCCAAAAGCAGCTGTTCCCTCCAACCCGATCAGTGCGCGCACTCTCTTCTGCAGGTCCAGAGCAACCTGGGAGACTTCCAGTTCCTCTTCATTGACCTCGCCATCATTCTGGTGTTGGTCTTCACCAGTGAGTAGGACAGGGCTGGGGCCTCTGGGTTGGGACGGATCCTGACGGGCTGTGCTGGGGGAGTGGGATGTCTTCCTCCCCCAGGACGAGCTCCTGGAGCACTGGGATCCCTCGCTGTCTGCCTGCCAGGCACAGGCAGATTGGTGACCAGGCCAGCCATGGGCCTTTCCTCCCACTGCTGGCCCTGGGGCTTCCTTGAGAGAGACAGGCCCGACTGCAGACCTCTCTCTAGTTTTGCATTCCAGCACAAAGGTTCCTGGGCCATTTTGCTCTGCTGGGGGGCAAGAGAGGAAGGCCTCTAACAGGCCTAGCTTTGTTCTTTGTAAGTCTGCCTAGTACGTTGCTGTATGTGAACTAAATCAATCCCTTCTGATTAGCCTAATTTGTATCAGTCCCAAGACTCAGCTGTTCTTTGTGCAGGTTTGGACCGTGTTGGTATGGGGAGGTTTGCCTGACTGCCTCTCTTCTTCTTCTCCCTGCAGTGAGCCTGAATCCTGCATGGAAAGAGCTTGTGCCTCAGCGGCCACCCTCTGGCCTCATCTCGGGGCCCCTCCTCTTCTCTGTCCTGTCCCAGATCCTCATCTGCCTGGGCTTCCAGATTCTGGGCTTTCTGTGGGTCAAGCAGCAGCTCTGGTACGAGACTTGGACCCCACTCTCAGAGTAAGTTGCCAGCATGCCGGGCAGAGGCAGTCGAGGCCACCCTGTAGCACTGGGGTGTTCCCGGGATCTGCAGAAGCATGGACGTGGCTAGCAGTACTCCCCCAACTTTTACTAGAAGGGCCCCTTTCCAGCTTCTCCAGTAGCCATTTCAGTATGCACAGCACGTGATCTCACTTTCTGTCGCCGCCACAACTACAGGCACTCGCAGCGGCTCCCAGGCCTTGGGGCAGGGGGAGCGTGCGTGCTGAGAGACCGCCGAGGGTCCTGAACGGCTGTGGGTTTCAGGAACTCTGCATTCTAAGCCTTCCCCCCACTAGATGGCAGCAGAGAGTTATAGAAAGTTGAGCGTTTGGCTGTCACCTAGTGGCCCTCAGGATTTCTGCAACCATGGCTAAGCTGTGAAACTTTCTAGGGTGGTGAGGGGCTGCTTGGTCTTCCCCTTTTCTCAGCATCTTTCTACATCAAGTGTTGACAAAACACAGAGGACGGTTTGTTCAGGTTGGCGGCACTAATGCCTCCGTACCTGACTGCGGGAGAGAGATGCGCCTCTGTTTTGGGCTTGCAAGCACCCCAGAGGCGCCTGGTTGGACACAGGGAGAAGCAACATGCTGGACTAAGGCAGGCCTTGGCCCAATCCAGCAGGACGGTTCTTACCTTGTTGCCAGCTGACTCGTCAAGAGTGCAAAACGTTGGTGCCCAACCCAGAGGCGCTGCAGTTTGGAGCAACAGAAACCCAGTCACCACTCACTCAGTGCAAAGGGAAACAAATAATTTTCTGCCTCCCCTAAATTCATGTTCAGAGAACACTTGCCTAGTTATCTCTGAAGAGATGCAAGTGGTTGCCCTAAAAGAATAGCCGTAATCCAGTAAGCCAACATTCCTTCATTGGATATGAAAGGCTCTTGCTAGCTAGGATGGTGAAAGGGCAGCATGCTGGCAGTTTTGCAACCAAGTATTTTTCCAAGTATCTACAAACATGTTGCAGGGGTTGGAGAGAAGGGGACATGCATCCCAGATGAGACCTACAGGTACAGCAGCTGGATGCTGAAGGCTGCTGGTCTGGTAGGACTGAGATACAGTCCTGGAGCCACAGAAACCTTTCCCCACTTCCCCAACACCAAGTGAGCTAATAAAAATGGCTTCTAGCCCTTCTCCCATCTACAGGCAGCCCCCCCCCCCCCGTTCCCAAGAGAAGAAGAAGGCCTACGTATTCTTGTCAGTTTCACCCTGCTTCCTTTGCACACCCAGAACTGTTGTTGGTCTACAGTGGCCAAAAAATCAGGAGGAGCTGGGATGTGCCTTTTCATCGAAGACATTTATTTCAAAGAGAGAAGCTTTTGTGAACTGCAGCTCACTTCATCAGATGCGATGAATTTAAATTATATTTTGTTCTTTTGTTCTTCACCTTATTGTCCTTTTGGACAAGGGTTCCTACTGGTTTTGCAAAAATAAGGAGTCTAATAGCACTTTTTCTGACTAACCAATTTTATTACAAGGCATAAGCTTTCATGAGTAAACCTTACTTCATCGGATGCAATGGAGTGACTAGACTGATGTAGCATTTAAACTGGGATGAGATGGGAGGGGAAGATAGGTTGGTTATACAGTTTACATGTGAGACAGATTACCCAATCCATTAACAATCGTAATGAATTTTTTTTGTTGAGACCTGCTGAGATTGCCTGAAACGTTTTGATGTGAGTCCAGCAATTTCTCACTCAGTGGTGCATCAGTCTAGCATTCTATGCATCTGATAAAAAGGTCCTCCCAGATTCCTCCTGAGTTTGCTAGCAGCATTGCAAAGAATCAAAATAGCCCAGTCAATCCTGGCTGCACTTCAAAGTGAATCTTTGGAGGGAGGGAGACCTGTAAAGCCATCAAGCCTCCTTTCCCTTGTGAGGACCGGGTCACCTGCTACTTCTACAGAATTTCAGCATCGCAAGTGGAAAGATTGGTTTGTCATGGTGTTGGGTGCCCTCAGCTGGGTTGGAGTTTAACACAGACCAGATTCTGGGGTGCTGCAGAGTTCCCATTTGTCTCAGTGGGGTCGTGAGGGTAATGTGGAAATACACCCCGTGGAGGTGGGGGGAGAGAAGAAATAACTGGATTAGCTGCTGCTGAAAGGCCTGTTGGGGGGATTGGGTCCGTTCATCTGCCTCCAGATGAAAACAGGCCCCTGGAAGCAAAGGAGGCGCTTCCTGGTTTGCCTGCGGAAAGTCCTGGAAGGGAGGGGAGCCCCTGGCCACCTGCAGGTTTTAAGAATGCCTGCCGGGGATGGGTGAGAAGGAGGCTCCCCTGACATGGCGTTTTAGTTTTCAAAAGGCTTCTCTTAGACCCAAGTCCAGAGCCTGCCTGGCTGGTCCATCCGGCGTCCCTCCCTGTCTGGGCCTGGTGAGCCTGAGGCCCGCGGAGGAGGCCAGCGTCCGGGCCCCGCCCCCCCCGCCGCTCAGCCCACCCCTCGGTCCGGGCCCGGTCTTCCAGCGCCTCGGCCGACTCCGGGCGGCCC